GGTTACACAGGTTTTGCGCAGATTTCATTTGCACGAGCGTACCTTCACATTGCCTGCCAGCAACACAGGTCAACGTTTCATTAAGAGGACACTACGCTTTATGCAAAACCATCAACGTCTGGATATACAATCTTTCAGGGCGGATTGCGCTATTTTTCTTTCCTTGTATCGTTTGGGAAGCAATTCATTGCACAAGTTTCGAGAGTCGCGCATCCTGCGCAGTCATCTGACGTCGCTGCCTCAGCTCTACTTGCGTCAAAGATTGGTGCAACAATTGGATGAGCCTTGGAGGACACGTGCCTCCCAGCAGTTGCGATTGATACTGCGTTTTCGTGGAGGTGATGTTCCTCCGACCAATATTCCATTGCGCCTTCCACCTTTGGCGCATGATTTGACGTCGGCGGTGCGTAACCAAATTCGAAGAATCATATGTTCGGCTCGCGTCAATTTTCCTCCGCTGCATTTGCCATCGACCAGCTTTATTGAAGTTAAAGCTATGCCATGGGCAACGACAGTGTTCAATTTTCGTTCTTTTCTGCAAACATGGAAGCCTCGTCGCCCAGCGAAGTGTATTTGTGAGGCTTGGCAGAATGCCCGCGGAGCGGTTAACCCAACAGGTCATGTATTCGGACACGTGCGGTTGTTGTTTCCTCTTTCTTCTTTGGCTTCTCTCAATCTGCATGACACCACCTTTATGTCTGCATCCAGGTGGCGACAACATGCATTGTCTGAGGTCCGACGATGGTGTTCACGTTGGAAGTTGCCATCAGATGTTCTTCTTGATTGGGAGAAGTGGGTCGATGTACAGTTGACTCTTCATGCTGAAGCACTTGAGCGTCCGGCTTTTGACCGGGCCCGAGATGTTCTGAAAGTCGTCAAACGCCTCACGGGCTTTGTCATTACGCCAGCAGATCATTTCCCGTACACAGCACATGTAGCGTGTCCTTTTGCGTTTCATGCTCTGATGGATCGTACGTTCCTGGACCTCGAGGTTTTTCAACAATGCACTGTGGGTATGGGTCATATTCTGAGCAACTTACGCAGTCAGTTTCGAGCGGAGCCCCTTTGGAATAGACGCTATTCTTGGGCGGTGCAGTGGGATAGGGCTCTCCCACGGGCTAGGTTGTTACCCAAGCCGTCGAAAGCCTTTCAGAAGGCCAGACCAGTTATTGCTTGTGATCTTTGCTGGCATTCACGTCTGACCATTTTCTTGGCTAAGGCCCTTTTTCAGTTGATGTCGCATTGTTTTCCGGAAACCAGCACGTACAACGTCACTTCCACATTGACAGCTATGCGGATGATGTGGACGCATATGCAGCAGGACTCTGATTCAGGTGAACTGATCCAACAGGACTTGATTGGGTTCTTTAATTCTGTTCCTCACGTTCGCATTATTGAATCGCTTCGATACCTACTGCATTTGTCACAGTTGTCGACTGGACAGGCTTGGCAGGACCAACAACTCCAGGTGTCTACCCAGAATAAATGGCCGATCTTCCGAGGAAAACGTGCATTCGGCAGACACCCCACCAGGACTTTGTGGTTGGCTGATTTGCCTGCTTTGACACAGTTTCTTCTGGATTCTAGCTACTTCACTTGTGGCAGATACACTTTCCGTCAAATTCAGGGAGCGTCCATGGGTTCCGCAGTTGCTCCGGTCTTGTGTACTTTGGTGGCGAACACAACGGAATTCATTCTTCTGAAGAATTTTCGGGAATGTTTGCTCACTTCTGGCATGCTGACAGGCTTTCGTTATGCAGACAATCGTGCTTTTCTCCTTTCGTCATTCAGCAGGTATAATGACTGGCGTCTGTTATGCCTGAATCTGGGCTTTTACGGGGAGCCCATTCTGCTAGAGCACGTCTCAGGAGAAGAGTTGTTGGGGACGATTTGCTCTGTTCCTCAGAAGACAATCACAGTTCGACAGCCGACCGATGCCACACAATTGCGAACCTTGTCTTCAGCGGGGCGCGGCTCTTACGTCCTTTCTGGTTTTCGTGCCAGAGTGCTGTTGATTATGCGACTTGCTCGACCTTTGGTGATGGTACGCCCGCAAGTGGAGGACTTAATTGAAATCTACTGTGGACGCGGTTTTGCTCGTAAGAATCTTGTACAGATCGCTCGACCTCTTTTACGAGGGATGGGCATAAGACTTTGAGTCGGATGACGTTCCAGGACTCGGCCTGACGAACCGGAAATAGACCGCATGCTTGGCTATCCCCTCTGACGGAGGGGCGTGTGTGTGTGCACCCTGATTCTAAGCTAAGGGTTTTTGGAAAGTCTTTGAGGCTTGGCGGAGAATGTATTTTATGCAGGGGGCGCGAGGTCCTTTGACATAGCTCGCGCCAACGAAGCTCTATGTCATCGGGCAGGAAAACGTACCTGCGCGTGGAGTATCTGGGCAAGTTGTTGCAGCTGGTATCCACTATACTGCTTGTGACATCATGTACCCTCAAAACCCGGAATCCTCGGTCCTCAAATAATTTCAAGTCCGAACGCTCCAGATGGCTTGCACCTTGGGACATCGGCATTAGTACTCCTACTACTTCATTCTCATCAACATGCAGGAGATCTCCGGACAGGGAAGCCAATGAGAGTTTACTCTCTTATCTCCGTGTGTGTGTGTGTGTGTGTGTGTGTGTGTGTGTGTGTGTGTGTGTGTGTGTGTGTGTGTGTGTGTGTGTGTGTGTGTGTGTGTGTGTGTGTGTTGTTGTGTGTGTGTTGTTGTGTGTGTGTGTGTGTGTGTGTGTGTGTGTGTGTGTGTGTGTGTGCGTGCGTGCGTGCGTGCGTGCGTGCGTGCGTGCGTGCGTGCGTGCGTGGGTGTGTGTGTGTGTGGGATGCCCTGGGACCAAGGGAAGCAGATGTTTGATCAATGCCGTGTTGTGACAAGCTTCGGTGCGTGTTCCAAATTTTGAACGCGTGTTTTCCGATTCGCAAGTTATTCTCAGCAGGGGGCACCTGGGGAAAGGAATGGGGCAGGTGCCAATGAAGACCCCCATCCTGACCCGTGATATAGGGGTGGGACGCCACCCCTACGTACCTGCGTTGAGATGTTCCGCTCCGTTCTGCATATTTTCTTGTCAACTTGACTCCAACTCAAGTGTGAGTGTCGGCAGGCCTTCCCATCGGGTGCTTTTCGTGAATTCTCTGCTAATCTGCAGAGGGTCCCAAAAAGCATGCATGAGGCTGCGTGACGTGGCCCCAAACAAAACATGGCATGTAAACATGGCATGGAATTGAGCATGAACTTGTGTTGTTCAAAGTGCGGTCAGATTCATATCGAAGCCGTGAAGTGACATGTGGAGAGGTGCATCCTTTCCATTTTCGATGGCTTGTTGACCAGCCCAATTGCGTGGGTGTGTGTGTGTGTGTGCATGTGCGCATGTGGGTTTTGAGTTGTCGTTGTGGTATGCAAGGATTTGCCTCAGCTATTCCCCAACTTCGTGATCACATGAACTTCTGACCATACTCTATGGACCATACTCTTTGGACCAGACTCTCTTGCGACCAAAACAACATTCGGGACCAAAGGTTTTGCGGACCAGATTCATATAAGTGCCAGGTGACACGGATGTCAACCGGATCTAAGAGAACAAGCTCTTGTTACACCTTGATTCTTGATGTTACTGTCGACGTTGTGTAGCAGTCTTGTTATGTTAGCATGTCGTTCAGCAATGGCTTGCCAGTTCCGCCGGTGCCGGGTGATTGGTCGGATTTACCTGCTTGGGCTAGAAAGCATGACCCATATCGTGGGATACCAGTTCTGACTACTTCAAAAGCATCATCCGTTGCAGCGCCTCAAAGTTTGTCCAAGCGAACTCACCTTCATGATGATCGCGCAGTGTTCGTCGCAAAAGGTGCACCGCAGATCAACCTTCAGGGTCTACGGAGACGTCGTTCAGAAGAAATTGAAGAAAACAATGGTCACAAGCGGAGTCGCGCGCAGCAGCCGGCTTCTAAGGCACCTCCGCCAAAGAAGCAGGTTGTTCAGATGAACCTCAACGCATTACCTGGGAAAACGTTCGAGCTGCCGGCGGTAGAAAGGTTCGTTCGGTACACAGAAGGCTTCGTGAATGAGGAGTTTTAGGCCATGAAGAAGCATCTTGAAGCCATGTCCCCGATGGAGGATCTGGGCATGAAGCTATCAGCCAAAAATGTGTGCTTGCTGACTTCGTTTCTTGCCGCAGCAAAGTTCAGTGTATCGGATGTGGCCACGAATTTCCAGGTCTTGAATCACCGAGATCACCGGGTCTGGATAGTGCCGTTGAAGAACATGTGGAAGCCTCCGTTCGGTTGCCCGGAGTTTCTCGCGCAAAGAGGTTGGCGCTCGCATCTGTTTGCTCATGGATCGGATGAATCTGGGATCCTACACGTGCTACAGTGTCGAAAAATGCGCCGGTGTTCTGCTTCAGACGAAGAGGATCGTAAAGTTGGCTTTTTCCTTTGCGAAGCTACGAGTGACGTTGGGGAAGGAATGTGGGCAATTTTGCGATGTTGGTCTTCAAAACAAAACCAGGCGGGCGTGGTCATCGTGGGCACGGCGGTCAACAGGGAGATTCGTCAAGCAAGGAAGTCCGGGCAAACCCGCGATGAGCGACAAGAATGCCTTCGTGCTGACGTTGTTTGCGACCTTCAAAATCGGCGTTGGTGCGTCAATCCTGAAGTAGCGTGTGTGGCAGGGCTTGCAGTTGTACAGAGCAAAGTTGAAGGCGCGTGAAGATTTGAGATGAAAGGCCACTGAATTTTGACGATGAGTTCTGTGGGCGCCCGCAGAAACGGGCTTTTCCGCCTTTCCGCTTTCCTTCAGCTCGTTAGTTTTGATGCGCGCGTTGTGTGAACAGAGTGTTTGCTGCTTGCTGGCAAAAACTTGCCTCTATGTTCGGTCATTGCTGTGATGTGTGTGCGTGTGCCTCATGTTTGGTGTGAGTCGGTTTCTCGAGTGGACTGGGCCCAAAAATCACCGCTGAGTGGTATCCGTTTAGCGTTGTCCAGGTTTCACGATGTCGCTACTCCGCAGTTCCAGATTGCGCCATGAGTATCCGTCACCTCGTAGTCCTGTCCCTCGTCGTCGATCCCCGCGTGAAGAGGAATTGGATGCATTTTCCCCTCATGGAAAGAAAAGTCACTCGCTTGACTTACCAGGCGATTTTCAGCCCACCAGAGACTGTCATGATTCCCGGGTCATTGGTGGAAGGAAGCTCTTCAAGACGGTGCAGGCAACTCAATGGTCGCGAGAGTGGGGGCTCGCAGGAAAAAGGCTGGAGGACATCTCCCTTCACGAGCTCACATGGCTTGGGTGGGAAAACTGGGGCTTGAGGTCGTTGTCCGCCGGCTGCTACACTTCCCTGGTGTTTGCGCGTAGTGTGCGTGAAGGTCAGTGCATGGACATTTTTCAAAGGGAGCTCCGGGCACGCCATATTGACATCGAGTCGGCGGCGATCCAATGGGCTCAACATGAAAACCAGGTGTCCGCCGCGAGTGCTAGTTCCTTATCGCGGGAAGACAAGAATGAGATCATGAACAAGTTTGTGAAGTGGATCGTTGATCAGGTTCAAAAGTGGAGTGTGTCAGCAGTTGAAGAATCCCAAAGTGTCCGCATTCGACAGCTTGAAGCACAGATTGCGGAGCTCAAGTCCCAACGCAGCCAGGGTGAAGCATCGGGAGGGGCGCCTTCAAAAAGAATGCAGAATGATGACGCGTCAATGCCTGCAAACAAAAGACAACGCCTTTCGGGAAAGCAGGGGCAGCAAGATCAGCGCATGTCCGCCGATCAGTTGTTCAACTTGGATCCCCCCAAGAAGCCCCTACGGGCGGACTGTCCACCAAAAGCTGGAACATCTTCTGTGACGGCATGGGTAAAAAAACTACCTACTCCGGTTCAGTCCCGGGCGGTGGAGGATTACAAGGCCATTGAACCATTGGTCAAAACTTGGTCGGATGATCAGCTGAGTTCTCTGCGAGAGATTGCTTCGGCGTGGGGTCTTCCGGTGCAATTGGCCGCAAACATGGCCAAC